TAATGATATAGATCACACTTCTTCATGTAACTCCTGTCCTGAAAAAGCCGATTTAGAATTGTTCTGTTTTTATTGAGCAATGTTTGTGATTGTGGGGCTTTGAATGCTTTTTTTTATCTTTCTATCATGTCGCCACAAAATATGGTAATAAGATTTGAAGTCCATGTTGCCCAGCGCTGTTTGGGATCATGCTTACAGGATGAGTAGAACCTCAGCATGAATGGAAGTACATCTTCAGACCCAGTCTGGTCCTGCTTTGTATTTTACCACCTATCCTCGTTGACCTTTTTCCACTATTTGTAATGTTTTGGTCATGTTAAGCTCCCCCTCCCTCGCTGGAAGCCTTCAGCTTGTGATCCTCTGCCATATACTCTCTATTTTTAACAGGAACCTTAAACAGGTGGCAACTTTTGTGCCCAAAAGTGTGGCATGCTGTGTAGCTGTGGGGTGTGTGCACCGGGAGGGACCGGGCTGGCGTCGGAGGAATGCGTGACCTTGCCGGCCTCTGCCGCCGTTTGGCTTTGATCAAACATTCCTCTGGAAGTTTCCGCCTCGTGCCGTCACTGAGCTGCAGCCTGATGTGGGTAGATAGAGAAACTAGGCCGTTTAAAATCAGTGGGCATCGACGCAAACGTTAGAGCTTAAAGGTTTTATCTTTTAAAGGATAAAATTAATAGACGGATTATAGGTAGATGTGGGGAGTTCTGGCTAAGTTTTCTCTGTTTTACAAGATTTTTTTTTTATTTTTTTTCACTAACGCTCCTAAGCCATCCAGAAAGTAAAAACATGAGAACGAAAATCTCTCAAAAAGTTCATCTTTGGGCTTTATTTTCAAAGTACTGATAGAAACCGTCATATTATTAACAACCTCATTATTAAAAAAAACAAAGAGGACACTTTTAGTGCTTCTTCTGGCCTCTGGAGTTTGGGTCTGGACTCCCCAGCAGGTCCTAAAATGCCAAATCAGCGTCACAAGATGATTTTCACAACCATTATGTGATCCCAGAGTAACATGGAGGGCCTTAATATCTCATAAAAAACATAAATAAGTAGATTTATTTTATTATTTACTGTGAAGTGAGACACATTGTTAAATCATTTGGCTGCAGGGGTAGGTTGCATATGTAGTGATTATTGTTGCAAATGAAGAACATGTTTTGTAAATAAAAATATGATGCAATGCGGAAATTAAACTTTGTAACGCCTCTTTAAATAAGATGGCTTGCAGAGTTTTCTAATGATACTGCCATCTGTGGCCAAAACACAGAACTGCAGCACTCCTCTGTTCGTCTCGTAACGCGCACTATTGGCACCCTTTTTTTTTTTTTGTTTGCTTGGTCGGACCTATTTAACATCAAATCCGCCAAACAGTGCAGGAACTTTGGACCCAAAGTAAATTAAAGCTACAGTGTGTAATAATTAAAGGGATATACAGTCAGAAATGTAAT